AGCAGGAAAGAGCATTTAGGAACTTGCTTCTCTTACCTCGAGCCTGGTTCTGTCTACATCTTTTAGTATTTTATTTCGCCCTCTGTTGGTCACCATGAGAATTTCATATGGAAAAATCTGTTAACAATGTATAAAAGGGGGAAAAAGAGATGTATTTACATTCTAAGGCAAAAAGAACACAATGTGTCTATTTTCATAACCACACAAACATTTGGTTTCTTTTTTCAAAGGAAATCACAGCACTTTTGTCCCCTAAAGCTGCATGAGAGGCAAGCCAATCTGGACACAGCAAGAACTTGGTTAGTAGCAATATGCCTCGCAGTGTAGAGCCACTGCGTACTTGCCCACCCCACTGATTTTTATGGTCCATATAATACAGCTGACTTTGGTCAGACAGTCCTCTCTAGTCAATATACTTTCTCATCCAGCAATGTATAAACTTAAGAGTTTATTAAAGTAAATATATTTGGCACTCATTGGTCTGATGGTTGCCAAAGTGTGGACAGCTCTAAGGAAACAGACTTAGTGGACTGTTAAAAATGAACCACATGAAAGTACATCAGAAAAAGCAGCAACTTTGAATAAGCAAGCTACTGACTAGTGGGGGCCACCGCATTCAACAAAATTAATCACTTGATTTTCTTTGCCTTTTTGGATAGTTGAAGAGTTCAAACAATTGCCCACTGCGCTTGCTGGCTGTGCAATTCATACATGGATTAAAGGAGATGATACTTTGTCTTACACACCTTCATCTACTTCAGAAGAGTATGTGTCCAGCACATCTCCCATTAACATTCCCCTCACTTTCCCTTTACATTGCAAAGAACATCCAGAACTTACACAAATCAGTTATTAGCCAATAATCAATTCCTGACTGCATAAATGATTTTAGTTTTGTTTTACAGGTTCTTTGAAGTAAAACGTTTACTGTTAGTGGGTCTCAAATCAGTGTAATCCAACAGAAACAATGCTGCTTAGAAAGGATTTCAGAAAACCATGTGCCTTAAAATCAGTTTCTGGAATCATCTCTGGCAAATAAAATTCTGTTTTAGGATTTTTTCATTGGGCAGCACTTCCATAAATGTCTGGAATGACTTAGGAGAGCTCACGCTCCATCTGACAGAGCCTCTCTATAGCCCTTCTCATTGCATGTCCCTGCCGAGTCAGAAAACAGCATTCCCTGTGAGGTTCTCATCCAACTCCTACTGAAGTCAATGAAGATTTTCTGCAGACCTCAGTGGCCACTGGCTCAGCCTTTACTGTTATTTATGGGCCTTGTTTTACTTGCCTGCTGGGAACAAGAGTGAGACCACCAAAACTCTCCTGGAGAGACAGCTGAGCTATTAGCAAATGCTATTAATTCAATTAGTTTAACATCAGAAGAAATTCAACCTGACCAACTTCTGTGCAGAATTAGGCAATTAAGTTCATTCCATTATCAACAATTATCCCAATGAACTTTTCAGAAATATAATAAATAAGATTCAGGCATCAATGAACACACCACTGAGTTTATTGTAAGTAATAATTTAAATGACGTGTGCTTACATATCAATTGTAAGATATGCTTCTTAGGAGATTCTGACATTGTCACAATTGTACAATTATGTCTATACTTTGAATTACATTGTTTATGTTTGATACTGGAAATAGCTACCATATACAGCATTATAGGAAACTAAAATGTAACTTTTCATATTTAAACAGGCAGAGTTTAAGTCAAGATCTACGGTCATAAGTACATTTTATATTTAGATATTCACAACAAGGCATGTCTCAATCTGGGGTGGCAGGATGCACAAATTCTGTCCTTTCTGGAGAATCATTTGGTAAAATTTGGTCATTCTTAAGTTTATTAATTTTCACTTTTCATGTGTTTCAGGTTTAAGTTAGTGTTGGACCACTGACGTGAATAAAAATACTGCCAATTCACACAAGCTAAGGGTCTAGCATCACCTTTATAAATATCAACAGAACCTATTATCTCATGAAAACTCCCGTAACTTTTATCACTAATAATACCGACAGAATTTGTCACCCAAAATAACATTCCAAATCACTGGGTGCATCAACAGCAGTGGTGGCTGTAAGAATGACTATTGCACTGAAAGAGAAATTATTTGGAATAAAAAGTAGTATCTCAGAAATCGGGGATGTCCCCAAGGTCTTATTTAGATAATATATAAAAACATATGTTAATATACATTGCACTGGGGTCTCAGCTTATAAAGCTAAGGTTATTGCCTTGTACGGTTTGTCTGGAGGTGGCTCGGAAGCACAAGTAGGAATCTGGTTTGCAAAAAGAGCTCCTCACTTAACTGCAGAAATGCTGATCCTTGTAACTTTGACAAAATCATGATTTCTTGGAAGGCTCACCAGCAACAGAAAAAGTTTTAAGATTTAAAACACAGCCCTGATTGAATCCCCTCTGTATATTATGTTAATTTTTGACTCAGACATCTCTAGACATAGCCACAAAAGCACTCTAATTTATATCTTATGTTCAACTGACATTATCTCTTTTTCCAATAAATCTGAAGAATTTCTCATATAGGGAATTCAACATTATTGAAAGGTGTCAGACTAACAGCGCTGAGAGCTAAAGAACAGATCCAGACAGACATGTAGGTATCTAACTTCCAATTTGAAACAAAGATCCATGTATTTCATTCATTTCTAAATAAAGACAGCCTCAACAGTGTGCTGTGAACCACGATATTCTGCATCACTTTTCCAACCTGACAGATATGAGACCTTCCCGTCGAGTTTGGCCTGCTGTTTTGGCTAGTGGAAGCTTGACAGAGAACTAGCTTTTGAGCACCTACAGTCTCTTTGTTTTGTCTCTGGAAAAGCCTCCTTAACCTAAGAAACACACCTGGGCTGCCCTCAGCCTGCCCGAGTACTAACACCTGTAATAGGCAAAGTCCAGAACAAAGGGAGAGGTTTGGCACATAAGGAGCAGGGAGTGAGGTGAGGTAAAGAAAAACAAGGGAACTAAGACATTTCCTGTATTTAATCTGCATTTCACAGTCAAATCTTCACTGTCTTGAAGGAAAGTGAATAACATCTGCACTTGCCTTTGGCTCCAACATGTTAGGCATAGATACTCCTCTGTCCATTCTCATTCCAGGGACATGACCATCCGGAAGGGACTGCATCAGATACAGGTATACATCAGACACATAGGTTACACACACAGAGGGTAAAGGCACTCAAGTAGGGGTGAAAACAAAGGTGAATTTGCCCTGAGACTTCCGTCAAGTCTTAATACTTAGTTTTATCACACAGATCATTGCCGTGGCTGCTGTTTACTGCTTCTCTGAGGCATGCAGAGGGATCCTTCGATCCTCTCTGCTACCACAGCCTTCTGTCTCTGCTAAGGCTGGTGAAAGCTCGCCGCTGAGCCTACCAACGTCACTTCCCAGGTGGACCTGGGGACGCCAAGAGAGTGGTGGGCGCTTTCCCACCCCAGTGACTAAGTAGAGTTCTTCTTTGGACAAACACACAGAAGTGTTAATTCAGATCCCACCCAACAGAATACCAAACACTCTTACACTTTCCTTCCTGTCACTTACGGTATCAGCTGAGGGTTGGTTTTTTTTTTTGTCTCTAAAATGGGAAATTCTTACTATGAACACAAAAAGGGACAGTGTAAAAAGATGCTGTTTTGACACAGGTACTGTTCCTAACAAAATAACGTCTTGAGCACAATACATGGGCAACTCCTCTCTCCCACAAATCTTCTCTTTCCAATCATCATGATTTTGATACACCATTAACAAAATTATCCAAGTAATTAAACCCTTTCTTAAATTGCTATTTCACATTGTGATTGTGCTGAGGAGCCAGCCAGACTCAAAGCATTCTGGAAAAAACCCTGCGGACAGGATCTGGAGTAAAAGGGTTTATGTTTGCAATCACATCTCTTACTGGCTCTTCTGTGATGACAGCACTGTAGAAAATTACTGATCACTCCTCTTGTCTGAAGAGCAAATTCCAGGGCAAAAATTAGGAGTTCAAGACTCCTGGTATGGGAGAAAATTGCCTCCAGAAGAGACTTTCTATATGTCTCTGGGGTCGGTACTAGAGAGGCTGGAAATAAATCCAACCTCAGCTGTCCAGAGAGGACTGTTACAGATAACTCATGTATCAACAGACAGTGGATTTTACAGAGCAAGTCACAGAACTGGTGTGAGCTGTCTCAACCCAGCTCTGGGGAGGTAACAAGGAGGAATCTGAGGCTGTGTCTGGTTTTTGTTGATAAGAATCTACATTGGTGATTATGCTTAAACATGCAGGAAAATCAAAGCTATTGTCTTAAGAAACCCTTCCCTGTAGCAGAAATTCAGACTTCAACAAGAAAGTAGGTGGGGTTTTTTTTCTGTTGTCAGTTGATTGATGAAAACCCGTACTCTACCTGGAAATCTGAAAAGCAAAAGAGAAAACTCATCAGCTTTAGAGTGTGGAAGAACAGGAATCGGTCAGTCTACCACCTAATCCTTATGTCTTCTAGTCTATCTGATCTTTTCAAAGATCTCTAAGGCCGGCAACCTTCCTACTTTTGGACTTGGTTTGTAAAGAGTCAAACACTCCAAATACTGCAGCCCTTTTATTTTGAGCAGGCTTCTCATTCAGGAAAATCAAGTCACTTTGGAAATATTAAGAGATGCAAAATTACAATCAAATGAATAAATAGCCAACTAAAATACAAAAGTGTAGAGCAGGATTCACCCCACCTAACCTCTGCCATCAGGTAGCTGTCTAGATTCCTCCACAGTCTATAAAGAGACACAAGCACCAAGAGAAGATGCCTGATGGTAAGGTATCTAAGATAGTCGGGATCAATCTCACTTTCGAGGTAACTAGCCTCTCTCTCTCAGCTCAAACCATTTCAAAACATTAACTCTCAAAGCTTCATAACTTCCATAAATGTTAGTTGTCAATTTTTATCAGGCAATGACTGATATGACATCTAGCTCAAAGTCATAACGAAAATCATGAGCAGCAATGGGGATCAGAAGGCATTATCCCCCTTTCTTCACTGTGGCACATTCTTTCAGACTGTGCCGTGGATGGTAATTTTCAGAGAAAGAAAACACCATAACAGAACTCGGTACATATTCCTGATAATATACAGGTTACCTGCTTTCCATTTGCACCAATGCTAAAGCAGTCCCTTGGCATAAACAAGGATCAGCTCCACATGGCAGATTTGGCACAATAAACCCAAACTTTTTAATAGGTATTTGCAGAGTTTGAGTTAATTGTTGAGTTTACCAGAGGAAGTTAAAATGTACTGAGCAAATACAAAGTAACCACCTCCACAACCTTAAAACAACAGAAATGATCAAACATCATAATGTGTTCAGTAATGAAGTGGCATGTAAAAAAGCTCCTCAGCCTTACCTCTAACACCACCACTCACATCCCCATAACTGTTGTACTGACCAAAATCTGTGGACACCGGCTGTAACAGGAAAAGAGGGACATGCACATAAATTCACAGTTCATGACTTCACAATCAGGTTGGTATACGGGGAGAAATAAATTGCTTTAAGCCTTTTATTTTCCCCTCAGTTTTCACAACATTTCTTGCATTGCTTTCTTGCGTTTTTAACAATGTAGTTTGTGGGAAGGACAAGTAGGTTTTGTCTGACTTTGGATGGTCTTATAAGAAACCTTGATCAAACTGAAAATCCAATACAGTTAATATGGAAATAAATACTATGGATAACTAAAGCCACCTTTCCTTCTCAAAATCACCATCTCCTTACCCTGTGAAGTCCATTTTTTCCATAGCCAGGGAGAGAAGAGGTTTTGGAGGCTGAAGCATGTGCTGTTGAATGAGGAAGGGAAAAATCTTTTACTGGAAAAATCCCACGGAAACTCAAAACCAAGAACATTTGAGGAATCAACTAGCATAAAAAACACAGTTTAAAGAGCTAAGCATATACATAACCAACTGAGACACACTGACTTTAGAGACCAATATCTCAGCCCCAAACTCATCACAACCTTCCACACAGCTTTACACACAGCTTTATCATGCCATGGTGGCAGATCATCAAGAAGGGGGACTGATTTTGCCCAGCTCAAAATCAAACTGGTCTCCACTGAGTTGAAAGTAATGCTCAAGGATCAGACAACAGAGCAAAATAACTTTTTACTCCTTAGCTAGGTCAAGTATTGCTGTGCACCTTATGATGGGACCAAGATAAAGGAAAAGGAGGATCCAAGATCAGCGTTTGACTGGATGGGTTCCCTGTTAAGTGTCCCATGCAGGTCAATTCAATTCTACTCTCCTAAGTGGCACACACCGTTTATATATCATCACACCCTCCAAACCTTTAATGAATTTCCTTTCTATCCTTCCTACTGCAACTATTATTGCACTCGTGCTCCCAGATTCTGCTGCTGCACAAGCCAAGATACATGTGACTAGCACACTCCATTCTCTCTGTATTCACATGCTTCAGCTTGCCATTTTTTGCTATGAAGGAGAAAAGGCTATTTGTTTTGGTCCTGTAACACTGTAATTGAGAGATGCTTTGGTACTGACTTCCCCAGCAGAATCATCAGAATGGGCAGTGCTGAGTTGCAGTTTAAGCAAAATGTGCTATTATAATTTGATAACCCAGCCTATTAGCATGTGTGTGATCTAACAGTCACTGAGTATTTTACCTCACTCCTTATCTATATTAGAAAATCTCTCTCCTCCAAATTGCCTGAAATTCCTCAACCTCATATTTCTTCTAATTAAGAAACAACCACGACACTCCTCCCCTCACCAAAACCAGCTAATCAGTTAGGCCACTCTTTCAGGGGAGACACCACACATATACGTATCAAGCAGTCTTCCCAATGGTCTCTTTTCTGGGAGACCACTTGGTATGTGTATACATGGTGTCCATTATTCACTGTCCATTAATAGCTTTACTGCCTACATGAATTACCTGGAGAATCGTAACGACTGGCAGAAAGGGCTGACCTATCGCGACTCTCCTTTTCCATCTCTTCTTTCAATATCAATTGTCCCAGACCAGAGTTGAGCTATAAATGACAATTAAAAAAAAAAAAGTCAATAAAATAAAACCAATCAAGGCATTAGTAGAAATTACTTACAGAAAACAAAGGGGCACTATTTGATGGTGTTCAGAAACAGCATGAAGACAAGCTCATAACCACCTTCATGAGCTGCTCCTCCTGCAGCTGCCGGCGTCTTTGTAGCTCCTCATCATCTTCCTCTCTTCCACTTGATCTGCGTCTCATGTCAGCTCCTGCTCCCATAAAACCACAGTACAGAGAGAACTTTGTGTATCAGTTCAACGCAGCTTGAAGATTTCAATGCTAGTTCAAAGTATTGGTTGATGTATTGAATGAGCAAAGCACTATTTTCTTGCAGGCTCAAAAGACTTTTTCAAAACTCACTCAATGAAACTCAGATAGCCTGCCCTGTGGCTATCAGGCTTCTTATAAAATTAAGAAGAAGTTAAACTGCACATGAGTTCTAAACCAAGCAACAGTCCTGGATGCAAAAGCCATGAATCCATGTAATAGAAAAAAGGAACTCAGATTGCTAGTTCTGGAAACATGGGGTTTAATGGCACCAGTAACTGCGCCAGTGGCTGAAAACATGAAGTCTGATTTACATTTATCAGAATGTAAAGACTTTTTTAGTCTTTTTTATAGACTCAGAAAAGCAAATCTGAATTAACATTTCAAATGGAAAATCAAACTACAATAATCTAAATGGACACTGGAATAAACGAGGCATTATTTTTAGCCTAAAGCAAACTAATTTGACCCATTAGATAAAGTTAAAATTAATTAAGACCCAGGTGTTCTACATTTTAGTTCCTTACTTGAATATTCTGAAGAAATAGTCCAATTTGGACACCAGGATACTTCCAGGAATACGTAGAATATGATACTGCTGCAAGCATTTAGACAGCAGTTGTATTTTTTTCTGCACAGGTTATATCCTGATATAATTATTCACCAGTTCTATGCTAGACAAACTCAGTGTTTTATTTGAATGAAAACTAAATTTTGCAACTAAAGTATCAGAAGTTTTATATCAATTAAATGTTTTGTACAGCAGTGTTTAATTGATGCTAATATGGAGAGAGATGAAAAGTTACGGAGAAATTTGTTTGTATTTAAATTATTATTTTTTGGTGTCTCAAGCTTTTGCAAGACTTTTCAGTACAATAGCAGTAATACTAATTTTTTTGACGGTTAAGCTCATTCTAGCTCTGTAAACAAAATATCACACTCAGGAAATCAGACAACAAGCCAAAAAAACTGGGGCTTGTGGGTTTGTTTTTTAGTGATTTAGTTGTCATCCACTGCCTAGAGACTGAGCCAAGAGCCAAAATTTCCAAGAAAGGCTCCTCCACCTCCGACATGCAGCATAGTAACGCTGTAGTTATCACAAGTATTGTCAGGAGAGTTTCAGGTATGTAGATGTTATCACTGTGACTGTAAGGTTTGCCAGGTCGCAATCCTATATAAAGGACATTTCCAAAAAATTGCCGCTCCGTACGCAGCCCCTTCAATTGGTCACTGAGCTCTCCCACCCTGTGTCTCCTCTCCCAGCACTTCTGTGAAAATCCCATTGCAATGAAAAGCATACGCTCCTTCACAGAGACCTGAAACAGGCAACACTTTCAATATTTCAGACATGGCTTCACAAATGAATCAGGCTAGACAGCTTTTTTTATGCTATGGGGGTCAATAAAAATTACTAGAGAAAAAACCAAACCAAACCAAAATTAAAATGATCATGTGCATGATTTAAAGAAAAGAAGATACCTGTGGTGCAACAACATACAAGAAAAATACAAAGTCTGTAGGAACAGTAACTCTGAAAATCAGGACTTTTTTAGTCCATTAACTGTTCCACTTCAGTCATCGCTTCTTGCCATGAAAACAGTCACGTGGTTTAGGACTAAAAGATTAAATAGACAATAACTGAAAGAAGTCAGGCTTGTGTGTCACACCACACTTTTTAAGCTACTACAAAACCTCTTCTATTCAGTGCTATTCAATAGTTTTAAATTCACAGACACTCAGAGGAACTGCACTTTGTGGCAAACACCTGGAGTGGACACAATCTTCACTACAGCTCCAATATTAATCTACTTTGGTTACCAGTACCTTTTAAGTCGCATCGCTTGTATCATATTTTTTTGCATACCTATGGCCGCAAGGGAGGGAGGACCTGGCCAGTGGTCCATCTCAATCTTTGGTATCTCGTTGGGTGCTGGTGCATGAGCTGCTGGGAACTTGGAGGACTTGATGATATCCTCGGAGGACTTGCTCTGTGCTGCCAAAGCAGCTGCATCTAGATGGCAATCAGGGAACTTAGCTATGTAATGATCTGTATCAATATAAAGGTCTTCCTTATTTTGGCAAAATTTTATACTTTACAAGAAAATTTTCAAAAAGCAAACATTTTCATGTTTTGCTTTTCTAGCTGCAATTCGAAGCGAAGTAATGTTGTTCTCTTGCCAACAGATTGGAATCAAACCTTCCTCTCCTCCCTCGTCCCCACCCCAAAATAGCCCCAAATCAGCGTTGGATTTTACTAGGGTTGCACAGTGTTAGAATGATTTGGCAAGAGTATTTGCCAGTATCTCTTAAGGACAGCTGATTATTAATGAAGATGAAACCAGATTTATGTACTGATCTGTCTTCCCTCTAGGGCAAGAAAACAAATAGTTCAGAGGAACAGCACTAATTTTAAGTCTACCAATGCTAATTATTTCCTACGTTTCTGTGACAAGCTGCAAAACAAACGAAAAAAGAAATCTGAAACAACTATGTTTATTTAACCAGCGGAATTTTTCTGCTGCATGCTCTTGCTTATTAGCATGCAGTAGTAGTAAAAGCAGACGTGAATTTATTAATAAATACTAAACTCCATTCAGATCAACTTGGCAGAGAAAGGCACTTGCAATGAAATGAACCTCACCAATAAACTATCTCAGCAGCGGGGCATCCACTTAGGATTCAAATCTAAGCCAAAGTCTCTTAAAAGCACGTCAGGATGTGCATTATAGCTTTCACTTCTTGATATAGATAAAAAAAAATTCAATAGGATTCAGTTTACATTAAAACCAGCCATAACTACCTCTTATCTGCAAACTGTTAGCTCTGATCGCCTCCTCTTATATGAAGCTATAGTATCAGGAGCAAGGATTCTGGGATTTTGTTTCCTTTTCTCTCTTTTTTTAAACAGAAATACGTCTGTTAACAAAGTGAAGCACTGTGTTGTTCATCCAACATGTTCAGGGTAGTTCAGGAACATCAATCTTAGATATTATTGGGAATTCTGAGTATTTTATGATTGGGAAACTCTAAGCATAATTGCAGGTATGGAGGAATCTGGTCAGAGTTTACAAAAGCATGACTTCAAACAGTACTTACGTATTAGAATTGGTGATGTCAGTGGTTAAACATTCACATGTTAATGGGAGGTGAGGAGACACATTAAAACCATAAAAATAAACAAAAATAATGTTAAGAATTTTTCCAAAATGAGCATATGGTTTGAAAATTTAAAAAAAAAAAAAAAAAAAAAAAAGAGGAAAAAACCCCCTGATGTAATATCACAGCAGCGTTATTTGCAGTGCTCGCTCCTGACTACAGAATGGACTTCCCAGGGTTTCCAAATCATCTCAGCTCAATGGTTCTCAGCCAACTTTTCCTCTAAATCCCATAGTACTGCTAAACCCTAAACACACTTCATTGGATAGAGAGTCTGAAAAGGGATGGAAACTCAAAGTCTTTAAAAAGTGGAGTCATCCATCTTTCACCACATTACATAAAAATCATCTCCTATTCAAAGTTTTCTATTCAGAGCAGAAGGGAAGAGTGAACACCCTCATTATAACCGGGACCTCGCTCTGCAGTACTAAAGACTGGCAAGACAGTGGGCTTCTCTCATCATTGCTATTTCAGACCTGCTGTAACAATGTCTACACCGAAAAGATTAGAGCACTAATACTGCTGTCCGACTCCAATCCAAACACCTGGAAAAACAAGTACAGCGTACTACCTGAGCTGTATCACCAGGCCCGAGAAACAAATTAGCCCTGTCAGTGATAAGTCACCTATATTATCTTCAGTAACTAAAGATTCTTATTTAAAGCCACAGGCACATTCGGAATTCCAGTCCGATAATAGCATCTCCATCTTTGCTGTTGAAATAAATTATTGGACTTTGTTTAAAATAAGGACATTCCATGAAGTCCCTGTCAGAGAACAGTCTGTTGTTAATCCATTCTAACGTGATCAGTACCTGTATTCTGAAAATATAAAGAAGTGAAATACAGGAAGGCATCATAATGCTAAAGAGACAGCAAAATCGCAGTTAATGCCAATTTTGACATTAATATCAACGTGGCCAAGATTTAAACCATATGATCCAAATGAAACAACATGCTTTAAAACATAATGACTCAGCAGGACATGCAATAACAGCTGTTTCAAGCTTGGACTAATTTTTTATGCTTCCAAAGTAAAAATTGAACAATTTTCACTAGTCTGCATGCCTTTTAATTTAGTTGTCGCTCCAGTTTTGAAATAAAAAGGTAAAGATCATTTACCATGTTGTTTGTAGATGGGTGGTTTTCTGTAAATGTTGACACCTTGATCTGTGAAATTGAGAAACAGAAAAATGGGAATATGAAAACTACTTCAGTTGTATATAAAGATAACTCCAACACTAAAACAATAGACAGACCAAATCAAGGATGTAGCTTAAGAAAAAGCCAGAAAGCTATTTCTACTATTATACAAAATCAGATTATTTACAGAAAAGAAAACATAAGAACAAGTGAAAAGTCAAAGACATGTGTCATGAAGTTCTTTGGAGCTGATTCTGTAACATGTGGATGCATCCAGGTCACGAAGCATTGATTTTAAACATTTAGAAGATTATCAGTGGGATAAAAATTAGAGAGGAAATGCAAACAAGCAAGACATTTCAATGGTGAAGATACAAGCCATTTGGGAAAAACTACCCCAAATAACTTTTATGGAAAATTGTGCTTCAGTCATAACAGCTCAATTTTCTTTCCAACTGGCTGGCTGGATTGAGCAGAGGAGAATGCAGTGAGCCTACAATTCACTTCAAAACCCAGACAACAAAATAGCTGCCTAATACACCGTTCCGAATAATCAACAACAGCTACGCTTCAGTGAGTCAAAGAGATGCTTTACGCAGTGTCAACTGATACAGTACTAATTCTCAAACCACAAGGATAGATTTTATTTCTTTTCTGCAATTTTTTTGTAAAGCCCACCACATTGCACATTATGAGTGTAAATCAGAATATAAACACTTCCCAGAACTCTACTGTGGTAAATCTACAGCATGCCTAAAAGATACCATATTTTTACAAATAATAATCCAAGACACAAACCAGTTTATTATAAACTACCTTCCCACCCAAGCCAACACTTCTTGTATTTGGCACAGCTACAAATACAAAAGTTAATCCAAAAATCAGTGCTACAGTGCAAAAATCTGTCAAAATCTTATTAGAAGACCAAAATGAGCTACTGGGAACTAGAAAATTAATGTCAGAAAGCCATTTTTCTACTTCACACTGTCTGAAAAAAGTTTTCAGTTACTTTAGAATGAACGATGGAAAAGCATTTTAGAAATGCATGCTGTGTATCGCAGATCCAGTTAAAGTGCTACAGGAGACAACTTAGCCTTTGGCATTAAGGAAAACTAACCCTAAAAATCTATTGAAACAGAGGCAAATCGTACTCTGCAGAACCCTACACCCTCGACTGAACAGGCAAATTCATTGCACACAAAAGACAGTGAGGTATTTCATTCTTGTTAGTGATCTGTTATGGCTACTTGACCAGCAGACAGGTATAAACATCACAAGGGCAGTCATGCAGTACTGTTGCGCACATCTACACCAGAAAGCTGTATGGACGATAGGAACGCAGCTCCTTCTGTGGCTGCACTGCGTCAGCTGAAGAGGACAGCTCTCCCACCATGCTAGAGATTATTACTCAGAGCTATTCATGCAAGTGCGCTTTAGCTTACGCAAGTCAAAGTGAGCCAGGTTAGCTTAAGTTAAAACAGCCTACCTTAGCCAAGCCAGGCCACACTGACTGCAAGGGAAGTTCCCACAAACAGTTTATCTGCCAGATCTGAGGAAAGGAGGAAGAGCAGTAACCTCTGGCAGTGTGAAGGGATACTAGACTGAAGGGGACCTGAAGAATAACTAGATATAATAAGGCTTTCAGCTAGCACTGATGCAGTCAGAAGATGCACGTCCACAACCCTAGGGACATACACCCTCATCTCATCAAAATCCATGACAGAAGATCTTCTCAGAGGCCAGAAGAACCGTGCAGCTCACTCAAAAGCAGAGACTGCCCATTATAGAGAGGACATCCTAAGGCATACATATCCTTGTGGATCTGCAGGTTTGTCTGAGTACACCAAGCCACTGCATAAAACAAGTAAAGGAACATCCTCATCTGCTTTAACCAAAAAGAAAAAAAAAAAAAAAAAAAAGGAACACTAAACTAGAACTGTTGGCTTCAAGACTGAAACAAGTCACCCATCTGAATGAACAACATACGTAATGGCTCACTGGTCAACTCTTTTCTGCATGTGAATCAAAATCAAGTCCTCCAAAGTTAGCAGAGTTATGCCAGTGCTCAGCTGGTGCAACTGGGAGAAAAATCAAACCCTACATAGCTCATGTCCAGCTCACAGGCCATCAACAGACCCTGAAAACCAAGCGTTCTAACAGTGAAACACCCGATCAACAGCATACATAAAAATCACAATGACCCCCCCCCCACAA